GGTCCAATATGGCTCCGACCCCTGTGCTAGTGTAATAAAATATCAAATACATGTCTTGTAAACACATTAACACTAATTTGTTGAACAACCATAAGCTGGTAAGGTAAGCTCTCTACAACAAAATATGGATTGGGAGCATCATGCATATCTTTAAATCACTGGAAGTTGTTATTTTCAAAGGAGTAAAGTACTTGTATTCTCAAGTCTGTCAAGTATGACTCAAAATGTGAATGAATATCTTATCTGAATTAATTTAAGAACACAAGAATTAGCATCCTTGAAATGTGTTAAAACTAAAAAAAACTGTGGTCTTTAAATACAAAGAGTGTCAGGTGTTTTATGGTACTAAGTGTTTTTTTTTTTTTTTTTTGCAAATGACTCTCTCCTTACATATCCTGAAGCATAAAATCATGTTAAATGTACTTGTATGCTGAAGAATTAAGAGTTCCCAGAGTTCCATTGGAGCTATGGGCAACTTTCCCTTCCTTGATTTTTGCGTCTGACAGAAGCAGTCACAAAAGTTTATTTTGGCAAATACCATACTCAGACTCACCAATTAGATTACCAGACGGTTTGTTCCATCTCTCCAGAGAACATGTTTTCATGTTTTCACAGCTCACAAGTCCAGACGTGGCTGCTTTGCACCTCTGCATAATCATTATCAATCATCATATATAAAAAAATAACTCTCCATGCTCTGTCAGATAGTTAATCTGAAAGCATTAGCATGGAGGAGGTAAGAGAAATTATTTTACCTTTTAAAGGAAAGCTCTTTGTTTACACTTTGAAGCTTTCTCTCACAGGGTCTTTCCTAAAAAGAGATCATTCTGCACAAACTATTTAAATAACACTTAATAACATATATATATTAAATAACCATGAGACATGAAACCAGTTTTTGACCCAAATTGTAATCTTACTCGGACTCGAGAATTCATCTAGTGAAGTTTCCAAGATTCACAGTTAAAGAAGCATTTTATACATCTCCAGTCTGCCATATCATCACATCATTACATCATACATGTTTGAAGATGGAGAGACATCCATGACTCCAGCCTTATCAAAATATTACACTTTGTTCTTCGATCAAGGACATCGCTCTCATTCCATTCCCAAATCTTTGCCATGTTCATAATGAGGGTGACTTTTTATCCTTACAGAAAGAACTGTCCTAATTAGATAAGCTACTTGGGAAAACATAAGTTCTGACATGCAACAAGCAGGTATTATCAGGGATTAACAGACTCAAAAATCACTAAAAAAGAAAATATCCTCATAAGTTGTTTTTAAATGCTCACAGTATGAAACAATATTCTCTTTTGGGCAATAAATGTATTACTGTGTAAATTATTGTTGAAAATGCCTTTAGGGAATAAACGGGGCTTTCATAATGTTGTCATTTAGTCGGATTGTGCCACTGGATTTCCCTTTATCTTCAGAAAGAGCTCACCCTCCACCCAGCAGAGACCTGTCTGCGAGGTGTCTTTAAAATCCTCTCGAATAATATGTCACTTTTTCATCTAAACTGATTTTATCATGTCTTCACGAGAAAAATCAAGTTTTGTGTATCTGGTTTGTGATTTTGTGTGATGATTCTAATCTTCTGTATACTGAATTTATGATTTTAATGATTTACCTGCATCTTAATGTTGAAATTTCTATGATATTTCAGTGATGTAAAGTACTGTAGCCTTGTAGCTGAAATATTCTATAAGTAAGTTTACTTACTTATAGTTGTTTTTTACTTTCCAACCTTTTCTTTAACACAATATCTTGCTTGAAGTTCTACCCCCATATGGTAGCAACTACAGCTGCTGTAAAGCCCAGCTTGTTAGATTTTGTACTGAAACCATTACTTAGATGGCGGACCACACAGAGCTTAGACCTTAACTAGCTGCTAAGAACATAAATTAATTTAAAAAAAGCTTTAACCTGTTTTACAGGCCTCCATTTCAGACTGTCACTAATTAACTTTTGCAGTATTTAACTATGACTGAAAGTTAACACATTAATTTAACAGTTTAAACTGTTAAGAGGTGTACAATTCTTTTCATAAAAAAATATGACAGGTATACATAATGAACGCAGTGATAGTTGCATTGTTTAATAGTTTATTCAATATTCTGCAGTGTGTTTAAATAGCACCAATTCACAACACATCTCAAGAGACTTTATAAAGTCAGTTTAATCAGATCTGCAGGTATTGGGTAAAAAAAAAAATCCAGCAAATGAAACTGAATCCTCGACTTGGAGAATTCAATCTTATTGGATGAGCTTGCAGCAAAGCAGTTAGTTTGCAGCGGCCGAGCATCTTCTTACATATTATTTGAAGTTCTGTCATCTTAAATATCATTAAATCACCAGCACACATAAGTATACAAGTTAAATTGATGCTCTGAATATACCATCTTAATCTTGGCTTGTACTGCCAATTGTTGTTGTCATGGTTACTTAAAGAAAAACCTTTTGGTAGACCTTACCTTAAGGACATAAATATCAAATTGAACATCTGAAGGTGGAAAAATAGGAAATACATAGGTCTCCCAAAGTTTAACAGCCAATATGTCTGCATAATTCAGTTCCATGCATACTGGAAACCGAACCAAGGTTAAAGCTGTGTTGAAATCATCCGTCCTGGGGTTGCTGGTGCCCTGGTCAGGTTGCTAGGGCAACACAGAGACAAACAGGAAAAACAACTATTAACACACACTCGCACCCAAGAATAATTTAGTGAAGCCTATTAAGCTAACAGTCCTGTTTTTGGGCTGTGGGAGGAAGCCGGAGTACCCGGAGAGAACCCTAACAAGCTCATACAAACAGAGCAAACAAGATCACAAGGAGAACATTCAAACTCCACAAAGAAAGACTCTGGGCTGGGAATCGAACCCAGAACCATCTTGCTGCAAGGCAGCAGTGCAACTCATTGCCCCGCATTTCCAAATTTCAAACAAAAACCTCTGAATTGTATTGCCGATGTATAGTTTAGCAACTCTGATGATGTCTTCCCCCAACTTTAAGCTAATGAGAACTTTCTTTGATGCTAGTCGTGAAAGCTGACAAACTCTGAAAAGCACTTTAACACATTTTTATTCTCAGAAGCTATATCAACTTCTACAAAATTTAAAAAAGCTGTTTGGTCAAATATATCCTTAATTCTGTCACTGTGATAAAGTTAACTAATACTGGCGTTAGCATTTTACCTACCGGTAACTTATCTTTAAGCTAGCATCATAGCATAATTTAAATGTAGGTTGCTATCTCCGTCTTTTGACATGATGTTACTGAAAAGGTTAAGATATTGATATTAGCTCAATACATATTGATTTCGTGATATAAATTTTTTTTTATGTATTTATAAAAGAAATCTACATATTTAATCGAACACCTGAAATGTTTGCTATATGCTAGTTAGCTTCAATTTCTTAGTATTCTTTGCCCTAAGAAACTAAGTTTGCTAACTTCAGCTTTGTTTAAATGGCACAACTTTACACTGCTGCTTTTCAAATATGAATGGCTCACATAAAAGTTTATATAGGAGGTTAATCAGAGGTTTAATTTCTCTGCACATCATGAGAGCTAGAAACCAGGAGGTAAAATTATTTTAAGTTTAGAAAAAGAATGCTTAATAGCTAGCCCAGATTAGAAATTACAAAGATTAAAGTCCTAAAAATATATTTACAAAAAAAAAAAAAAAATTTTATACAAATGTTAATCTTTAAGATAACATTGTTACATCTTATGTCTCATGATTGGTTTTCACACACAATAAAAATCATTACTGCAATCAAGGATTTGCAGTGAAGTAAACTTTGCCACATTGTTTGTCTGAATGAGGACATGCCTTTGTCTTTTTTAAGCTGCGGTGACGGCTTTGGGTTAAAACCGCAGTTTGAATAGAAGGAGAGTGTGGTCGGTTTGGAAAAAGCAGCTGCCCTGATCTGCTCCCTGCTTCCAGCTCCGTCTGTGTACCCGGGCCAACTCCAGCAAAACACCCGCTGACAAAAATAGATGCATAAAACTAACTCCTAGGAAAAAAGGAAAATACAACAATGAAGAGTCTCATGTTTTAGGACATTTGAAGTGATTTTATTGACTTCTTTGTGTACAAAGACCTTCACAAAATATATAAGAAACTGCTGCAGATGCCACCGACACCATGAAGAAAAAGGATATCACATGACCAGAACAGTTTCACGGAAAGAGAAAAAGGGGGAAAAGGTGTTGATTTCTTTGAAAACCCGCAACCAAGCACTGATAGCGCATAAACTGAAACGTGACGACATCTCGGGGCAATACTGTCTTTCAGAGCAGCATCATTTTCCACGTTTTAAACAAAAGAGTTGATTAAAGTGCCAGTCAGTTTATTTTTTTGGTGATTTCCACCGTGCAACACGAGGGTAGAGCAAACAAAAGTGCTTGTCGATTAATTTGAAAACATTTTTCTGACTCAGAAAAATATTTAACTCAGAAATGTCATGTACAATCTTTTTTACAGCTCAAATTATCCATTTCAGGGGGCACTTTATCTTTCAGCTCGTAGGGCCATATAGTACAAAAATATACTCAAAGTAAAAAAACAAACAAAAAACAAATCACGTTTTTTTTTAGAAACATTCAATGTGAAGAAAAGTCACAGAGGAAATCTCCCTCCTTCTCAAGCTTGAACTCTGTAACGGGGTCTCATCCATTTGGCCCTGGGTTCTTTGAGAACTTTACAGCTTAAATAAATATGCCCACAGGAACAGAAGAGAACAAACGGAAAGAAGGAACTAAAAGTCACTCTCTAAAACTGAGTGGGAATATTATCCGCCTGTTTTAAAGGCAGTTATCCTGCAGTCTTATACAACATGCCTAAAGTTCTGTGATCACAGGCAGATAGTTAAAGCAGTTCAGTCTGACCTGTCCAACAAAAAATGGCAGTTGTGTGGATTATTATGCACCTTCATGTACCAGCAGTGTGCAACACTGGGCTCTGAACGTCCCGGAAGGTGCGTGTTTTGTTTTCTCTGCAGATGAGCAGGAAAGTGATAAAACGCAAGTGCTTTTCTTTTTCGTATTAAGTCTCTGTTCGGTCTTTAACCGTCTCTGCTTCCACTCTCTCCTCCTTTTGCACCATGTCTTCTGTATTCTCTTGTGTTTGGGGGTCTTTCCTTTGTGCCTCCTCCTCCTCGTCTTCATCCTCTAATTGGACGTCGTCCATCGCCGTCTCAGCGCGAGCCGCCGTTTCCTTGCTGCTGCACTCTTCCTGGGTTTTCAGCGCGGTGCAGAGCTCCATTTCATGGATCTCTACGTCGAAAGGTGTGGTGGGAGGTACAGAGGGGGGACACTTGCACCCTGTGCAGCCCTGAAAACCACAAAGAGACAGATCGGTCATTTCTGTTCCTGAGAATCCACACGCTCTGCTGGGGATGCATGTTGTTTCGGGGTGCTTACGGGGATGTTGATGGATCGGGGCAGACGTCCCGTACGGATCCAGGGATGGACCTGGCCAAGCTCTTTTTTCTGCTCCTCTGTGAAGCGAGGCTGGTGTTTCTGCATGTTCCTCAAAGCTTCACGGTCCTCCTGCAGCACCGTCTCCATGTTTCTGTCACACACAACACAGCACGGACGTTTACTTATTTTTAAGGGATGAAGCAGGTAAAATCCTAAATCCAGCTCATAATTGGTCACACATCCACGTATCCATACATTTTCCAATCTTTCCAATGATGCAGTAGCATAGAATGGATGCTAACCACATAATTGGCTGAAAATAATCCTGCTTTCAGGAGATATAAAGACTAGATTCACAGACAGGAGCCCTGATCACCTCCCTAGGCTTCTAAATATACTTCTATCCACCTAATAATGCTGTTTAATGCTAAAACATAAAAACAAAATGCTGCAACATCAGAGGGCTGTTGTGAGGAGGTTTCACGTTACCTGACAGGCAGCTGGTACGTCATCATGACCTTGTCATCAGTGTTGGCCATCAGGAGCCAGATGGGGTCCTGCAGCACACACTTGATGAACTGATCCTCCCCTCCGTCTCCTCCTGCGCTACTGCCGCCCCCTGCTGGCTGTTTACGAGAGTGGTCATTCTCTGAGGAGTCGATGCTGCCAAAGTACTTGCTGGTGTGGCTGCCCTGGCTGCTGACTGATTGGAAAAGAAAGAACAAACATTGTTGGGTCATTAAAGGAGTTTCAAATCTCTACATCAATGAGAACCCTAAGCCATCTCTGTTCGACGTAATCGATACAAATTCCATGGAACAATCTGACATTTCAACTGAAATTATGTAACAATCTCTTTGGGTAAGTACAGAAAAACTGTTTGACTTTATGACTCAAACTGTGAAAGCAGTGGAGTCTGTATTCTGCTCTTTCATAATTTCACATCATGTGCTGCACATGGCTGATCTCCTGGCCAGATATAAAGATGCAACGATGTACAGCTTCCCGTACTTTGTTGTTTGCAGAAATAAACAGCACTTTCACCGCAGTGATGTAATCTGACCTGACAATCAAAGCGACGGCAAAACCACAGACACAGTTTCAAGAAATTATGAAACAAAATCAGTCATCTGCGGAGAAGAGGAGGAAATGTGTGGACCTGGTAGCTCAGAACCTAAATTAATAACAGCGTTAAATGCTGAGTAAAGAAAAGTCAGGTTCAGTGTTTTCTTGAACCAACTTAGAATATCTGATCTTCTAAAAAAAATATGCTTGGCAAACAGAGCAGCCATGTTAATGTACATACAATGACTTTGTATGGTTTTAACTCATGTTGTAATAATTTCATTTCCAGCTATATTTATTGTGTTTCTACATCCATGATGTGATCGCCCCAAGTCCTAGTAAGCCTTTTGTTGGAGCTTATAGTTAAGAATGGCTCCAGTTATCTGGAGCTATGTCTTTAGTTATGCTGCTATAGGCTTAGACTGCTGGAGGACATAAGGACCACTTTTCTCTATTCTTCACTCTGCAGTATTTGTTATTTCAACCTCTAACTTTATGCTCTCTGCTTTTTCTTATCATAGTAGCTTCATCTGGTCTGTTCCTGTTTGGCTGTAACACCATTCTGGAGAGAAATATCAGCTGCGCTGCTTCTGTCCTTGTAGATGATAAGAGTTTGGCCTGTTTTAGTGATTAGTCCCGTTTCTCTCCTAGACATAGCTATGCTCTCTGCCTTCACTGTGACCAACTGTATGTGCTCTCGTTCATCCCTTTGACGTGAAAACTGCCTCAGAGCTTGTATGCTCAACTGTTTCTCAGAAAGAGCCCCCTTGTGGAGCTAGGTTGCTATTACATTTCCTAACATAGAAAGTATTTATAGATCATAGCTTCTATGTTTGTTTTGTATGCCTGCTTCTATCTTAAGCGCAATGTCCTCAAAGGTTTTCTTAACTTCCGGAAAGGAAACTCTGAGTTTGCTAATATATTCGCACCTCCCGGTCAAAACTTTACCCAGCATATCATTGGTTAAAGTCAACCCCACTGCTGCCTTTAAATTCTTGATGAATTTTTGTGACATAAACGTTTTTAAATCAAACAATGCTGTAAATAACATCAAGGTAATATATGAGCAACCAGGTTACACATTAAAAAAATCAGCTAGAAAATCCATCTGTGTGGCTAAAGATCTCTGCATGTTTTAGTTAATTGGCTTTTTGGTTGGATGAGCATGAAAACACTTTTATTTACATTCAAGCTTCACCATGAGACAGGTAGTAGAGTAGAAAGTACAGCGTGTTTATATTTGTCATTTTAAGCACAGTGCGACCCTGCTTAGATAAATTTAACACTTCAAACTAAGGAAGCAGTCAAGGTTTAAATGAGGAATGTAGGGCAGTGTTTAACAAATGAAGCTGCGGATCATTAAACAAACATAAAAAGCAGTATAAAAATAAATTGTTTTGAATTATAAGAAGGGATTTGAGACCTTGAGGATAAAAATAAATAGCTACTTTATGTCAGGGTTTATGCCATCTCCTTATGGCTAACATAAACTCAGTGTAGATAACTGATTTATTATGGGACATAAAAATTTTGAGCTTAAGCCTCCTTTAGAGATTCTCTTGAGGACGTTTTCATGTTCACCATCCGGGGGGACGGGCAGAGGATTTAGAGTCTAACTGTGACCTTGCAGACCTCACCTTGAACAATCTTTTAACTCTTAACTAACACACTGACAGCTCAATGAGTTGGCCTACATGCAGAACCTGGCAGGAGGTCCGGCCCATTTCAGGCAGTTTGGGCTATTTTGCAAACAAGAATGAAGGGAAGGTTTTTGGATATGCATATCTAGTAGAGCCTTACCCTAAAAACAATTAAAACTGTATAAACTCAGAGTAGCTGCTCAGAAATTTTAAATAATAAAAATGAAAAACAAGATGCATTTCCCTCTGTGTTGATTTGTCTCCTTAATCTGCATATAATCAAAGAGTGGGGTCTGTGGTTGTCCTTATTAGAAAATGTAAATACTGCATGAAACATTTTTAAGGCACTGCATCTTTTGGACATGTCTGGAAAAGTAAAACCCACTCACTGGTTCCGCTGGTTCCAGAGGAGCTGCACCCATTAGAGCCAGAGCCTGATCCAGAGGACCGTGTACCCGAGGATCCAGAACCAGAGGCGGCTGAGCCGGTGCCTGAGCGGGAATCCTCCTGCAGCAGCAGGTCCAGCAGGTCGCTGGAGGTGGACATGGCGTCCTGGTTGGACTCTACAGCTTCAACCTAAAGGAGCAAAGAATCGTTTTATACTCAACTGATTCTGATATTAAAGGTAAATCTAGGAAGAGTGGAACTTTAAGCTGCCTACGTTCTCGTTCTCTTTGGAAGGATCCTCAGAGCTCCTCTTATTTGCGGAGCTTTGGACCCCTGCTGCGGCGCCCTGCACAGAGGGCTGAGCCTGCTGTGACGCTGCCAACGCTGTGGCCACTTCTAACCGGTTACTGGGCGTCTCCTCCAGCTGTAGCAGGTTGAGAGGAGAGGAGCATCTGGACTGGAAGAGGGGGGATTCTGCCCCCTCGCGGTCAGCGGGCGTCTGAGTGAAGGACTGTGGGGTGCTGCTGCGGGATGGGGCGCAGGCGCCCGCCCCGGGAAGAGGATTGGATATAGATTGGAAAGGGACGGGGGACATCCCGGGGAAACTGTAGGTGGGGTTGTAGAATTGTCCAGAGCCGCCAGGCTGAGACATGGGCATCCCCATTTGGGGGAACATGTAGTTGGGCAGAACGAAAGCCATCATGGGAGGTACCATCTGGGTGGGGGGGAAACGTGTGGGATCATAGCCTGGTAAAGGCTGGGGGAGCTGTGGGTAGACAGGGTAGATGGGAAGCATACCAGGGGGGAAGGAAGCGGCAGGAACGCTGGCCTGGGAGCCCGCAGACGGCCATGATGGGGAGTTAGTTGAGTGTCCGATGGGAACGTTTAGGGGGGCAGAGGCTGCGGGTGCTCTAGAGTCCTGACGATTCAGGGGCTGAGAACCGAGTTGGTCCGACGACTCCTGGTGCTTGAGTCTCTTACCTCCACGGCCTCGCCGTCGGCCTGTGCCGCTTCCAGCAGCCGGGTAATCGCGAGAGCAGCGAACACCTGAGGAGGACGCACAGACTACATGAGCACCTTCTAACTTGGTACTTCAAACGTTTCAACATTTACTTTAACATAAAAAAGTGCAAAATATAAGGAAACAAAACGATGAACGGAACAAGGTGATTTTAACCATCCTACCTCGAGACAGTGCAGGCGGGGTTTGGCCTCGCGTGGTCAGAGACGCCGTCTGATCCAGGACCCGCAGCCTGCTCAGATCGTTGAAGCGATCGAGGAAGGCCTGCTCCTCCTGCTGCGTATGGGCAGACAGAACCTCCTTGGTCAGGCCCAGCCGGCCTGGAGCTCCGCCTCCTGCCGCCACACCTCCCACGCTTCCGCTCCGCCAGCTGTCCCTCTCCGGCTGACTTGCCGGAGGGTGAGTAGGAGGGGGAGGCGGAGGAGGAAGAGGAGAAGGGAATGTGGTTGTACTGATAGGAGCAGCTGGAGTCAAGCTGGTAGTAGTGGGAGGTTTTGGGTGGGTAGCTGTAGTGACAGGGGTTGGAGTTGGAGGAGCCTCCTCCATCACAATGTCTGAGACAGGAGACAAGGAATGAGAGGATATTAAAAACCAAAATCTGTGAGGCTGAAATAACCTGATATAATACATTTATAGTAAAAGAACACATGTCTGAAGCAATAAAACAAACAAAAAAGAGACAGAAGTTTGAGGTTAATGAAGAAATAAAACCACAGCCTTGCTGCACAGAGATCAAACATCATAAAACAACCTGTGTATTTCCAAACACCTGGACTTGGTACCTCTTTTTTTGTTGCAAAACCTAGCCTTCGATTAACCTCCGCTATGCTATCATTTTTCAGCCATCTGTGCATTGCAGTTGTTGAATTCTGCTTTGTTTCTGGAAGATGATAACTTCCAACGCTGCACTAAATAGCAGCACCTTAGGATGGGGGGGACAAGTCCTTCCTCGACACCATTTTACATGGGCACCGTCGTTTCTCGGACTTCCCAAGGTAACTGTGACCAAACGATACAAAACATAAGGAGGATCGGAGTAAGGGTTTGTGAATTTAAATCACCCGATTTCAATTCATGAATTCAAAGATCAAGAGATGTCAACATGAAGCTTTGGTGGTAGCAGCATCATGTTGTGGTCACATGTTGTGGGCAGAGTGGATGTAATCCAGAGTCTTCAACTGTGTCTCCAATGGTTGATACTTAACAGTTGAGTAATCCAATGGGATAATAGGAAAATATGTGCTTAAAGATGGCTTCGTGTAAAGAAACAAGCCACTTTGAAAATTAACAACCAATCCCTGATAAAAGGGGTCAAATATTTGGCCTGAATTAGAGCAGAACCTTGTAGAAGTCTACAAAAAGCACCTGATTGAGGTCCAGCTGGCTGGGAGACATTAAACTGAATATTAGAAGGGATTTAAGTTTATATTCAATCATCAATCAAAAATCCAAATTCTTGCTCTTAGAAAACACTGGTTGGTTGCTGTAAAAACAGTTCAATTAAAGGAGTTATTAAGTTAAACTAAAAATATTTTCTATGCGACAAAAAAAAGAACATAAACATTTTATGAGCTGAGTAAATAGAAAACATTTTATTATTAGCATACATTTAAACTAGTTTGAATTCAAATAATTCCCATTTAAAAACTGGGTAACCCTTTACAATAAACATCATTTATAAATGGAAAAGGTATAATTCATTAGTGATATTATAATTGATGGTTATTGTAAAGTGTAAACAATAACTGTGATGTATAGATTGCTATCGAGTTAAAGAGTTTAATATAAAAATAAATCTATAAGAATCACTGCTGTCCCTTTTCTTTAATAAGGCATGAAAACTATAAGCTGTAGAAAAAAAAGTTAGTTTAGAAAGAGCAAGAAAAATAAACAATTTTATAATCTGATCATGTTCTAAATTCTAAAGTAAGGAAGTTGTTTTTAAATATCCATCTATTGTATAACAAGCTGAAGAAAACGGAAAGAAAAAGGAAAGAAAGATCTTCAAGGTTGGTGGTGCGTCCCTTCAGAGACCTGTGGAGAGTGAGAGTGTTGACGGTGCCCACCTGACTCGGGAGGTTTCTTGTCTCCTACATGGACGATGGTGCTGCTGAAGCTACACTGAGACGTAACTGAGGCTACACTCTCTGCCTTCGAAGCCATGGTCAGGGGAGGCAGAGGAGGTGGTTCACCTACGAGGTTAACTGAACCACCTGAAGAGAGACCAGCGTTGTAGTTAAGATGCACAGAGACACTGAGAGCCAGATTTTGTTAGCAACTCACATTTCTGTTTTGGACTGTAGGTGTACATAATTAAATGTATTTTTCTTCTAATTATATATAAATAGGTGGAAGATGTCAAAATTCGGTTACCGTTGTCGTGGCCGCCGGAGTTCGCCTTTTTGTCCTCGTCGGACGTGGATGAGGCGGTGCAGGAGGAGGAGCCGCACTTCCTTTTCACAGTGTTAGGAATGTTACAGCTCTCCAAGTACCTGGGGATAATTATAAAGAAAAAAAACACAGGATGAGTGACGTGGCTGCGATGAAGAAGAAAGGAAGAAAACGGTTTCCAGCTTGAGTACAGACCTGATGATGCTGTCCAGGCAGTTGATCTGCTGGTAGGAGTAACCGGTGGAGGGCTCCTTCTGCAGGAGAGCAGCAGGAACCAGGGACCTCGGAGACTGAGTCAGGTCTGCTATCGACTCTCTGATTGCGTCGCTGTTTATGGTTCTGAAACCAGCTGCACCTGGACAGGCATGAGAGGGACAGGCGAGTCTAGTTTGGCCCTCTACATCATCACACTGAGGCTCCATTCCTTCATCAGCCTGCTGTCCGTTCTCACCAGCACAGGTGTTTTTTCTAGGCGGAGGACGGTTCCGGGACTCGATGAAAACCTGCTGCCCGTTGGTCTTGACCGTGTGGACGTCTTTGCAGATTTGCTGGAACGTCATCTGAGGGAAAACGGAAAATATTGAGCACAACTAACCCAGTAGGCTAAAATTAAAGACTATTTCTTTGGTTAAAAACAAAAGAAAGCCGTCTCAGACTCACAGGCTTGTGCGAGGCCGCAACGGCGACTTCGTCCATGGCGGGGCCGTTGCTTTCGCTGGACGAGGCGGCAGAGGCACTGGGGTGCTGCTGCTGGGAGCCACGGGAACCGCTGGACCCCAGAGAGCTGTAGCCTTGGGAGCCGCCGCTGTGGACCGGCTGGACCAGAACCCGGTGGATCTGCTCGCTCAGCTGGACCACGTCAGGCGTGGTGACTCGACTTTCGCCACCCATCGCCGTGGTGAACACGTCCTCATTCAGGGGGCTCCTGTAAAAGAAGGAATCCATTAGGAGCGACTCTCTTCAAAACCAAAAGAAACTAAAGGAAAGCGGATAAGTTGTTACTACTGGGCAAAAAACGCTTACGTTCTGACTTTGTGACGTCCGACGACAAACGCCACCTTCCTGCTCCAGGGGTTGACGAAGGAGGACCAGCTGGTGTCGATGGTCACGTATTCCCCGCTGCGGGCGCACATCCTGAGGGGCGAGTAGTCAAAGGGCTGTCCTGCAAACTGAAAAACTGAAACAAAAACGAACCACAGCCGTAATTTAGACAGGAGCGGAGACGATTATGCAAGGCTGGCCACATTGGACGCATGCACAGGGGAAACTCCGGTGGATTAGAAATGCGACTCGACGTAAAGAGCGTTAAGAACGGTGGAATGTCAGACCGCCTCTACAACAGGGAAACTCCCGACAGACATTCAGATAAATCTGAGGAAGGATTAACCAGATGGTCTTAAACAGCCTCACTTTTCTCATGAATGGCCACCATCGTTGGCCTGTCGTCTGGGTGGATGTAGAGCAGGATGGGGGTCCCTACCAAATCCTGAGGAAGGTAGCCCAAAAGCGGCACCGCCCTGAAAAAAAAAAACACATTCACATCATGAGAAAGAGCTAAAAAAAATAACCTCTATTTGTTAGTTTCACTGCCCTACTAAGATCAATCATAACGAGGTGACTGACCTCTCATCGACCTCCTGGAAGAGGCAGTTGGGAGTGTGACTGGTGGTGAAGATCCTCTTGTCTGCAGGGATACGAGGAGCTGACAGGAGGAAAGGAAACAGATGAATATCTTCCTCCGAATGATGAATATAGACATATGAATTTAATCCATATTCAGAGGAATATGGCGCTCTGAAGCAGAGCCTGTCCATCTTTCCTTCAATAGATTTCAGGAAGAGTCGAATGAAATCTGTACCCCAACTAGAGCATTAAAAGTGCAGCGTTCGCTCAGTGTTTACATTATTTTTGCATTTCCCTCACTCTCAGCTCTGTTTAGTCTCCCTCTGGTTTGCTGCACCAACATGTTACGCCTTATTAACAACATAACGCCACCCTATCACCCAGTCATGACATCTAACCAGACTAAACAAGCTCCTCCATGTTAAAAAAGAATCCAAATAAAGGAGTGCCTGTTTCCCTTTATTGTTTATACATAACAAATATCAAAGTTTATATATGTATATATATAAGTGCCTTGTTTCTGGTACATAATGCATGGATGCATTGGAAGGCTGTGTGGTTAAAATACCTTCGTATCCAGAGTGGACCTTCTCAGCGATGAGCAGGCAGCAGGGCTGCGGTTCTGCAGCGTCCGAGTCTCTGAGGGTGAGCTGGTAGGGCGTCAGGCGGAACGGGTGGTAACGCATCTCGCCCCCCTGCGCCCGATCGCCGCTGATCCGACAGAACATGGACTTCTCCTGGTTGCAGTCGACGGGGGGAGAAGCTGCAGGAAAAAGCCCAGAGACTCAGTAAGGATGGGGGGGTTCTAAGTGGGATTTTTCTACGACTACGCTTCCTATCAGCTGACCTGAGCCGATGCAGGACGCCCAGGGCGGCAGTCGGCAGGGGGCCGTGCTGCTGTAGAAGGTGCTGACATCCTGCGGAGCGAGGAGCTCCGAAAACATTATCCCCTGGAGGCACTCGGGCTTGCAGCGCAGCAGGGATGAACACTGCTGGGAAACGTACACGACCTTCCCCGACAGGAAAGACACGGCCATGGAGAACGTGTCCTGAGAAAAACGCACAGCGGGAAATAAACTCAGTCTACAGGTCAGGCATGATTTGCAGAAGAGACCGATAAAAAGTAGGAACTCACTGTGTTTTTCAGGGTGTATTCGGAGCTGATGTTGTCCAGCTCCTCGATGGTGAAGGTGGACAGGTCCAGGCTGCAGCCGTGGCATTCCTCCACGCTCCACTGGTGGTAGTACTCTTTGTTGGCTGAAAAAACAATTGAATAGCAACCATGCTCAGATCAGTCTGGTTTACCACCGTTCTAATATCTGAAACCTTTTTTATTATTTCTCTGACTATGGGCAGGTTTTAAACCCTAAGCTATCTTATTGGTCATTTTATTACCAAGTAAACTCTTCATCCATCCCTTGGCCTTGAAATGAAGGTTTTCCTGTTTTTCCCATTTTAAAGAGCAGCTAATAAAACCAGGACTCAGAGTAAAGATGCGTTCAACACTCAAAGCAACTCAATATATCCAAATACGGTGTATTTATTTATTAATATTAAATGGGCTAACATTTAGGTTGGATTTTGTTTTACTCAAAGTGAACAGATTATTTATTTCTAAGTAGATCTTAGCCGTGATGTAGCTGAGCTTGCCTTGTGATACAGTAACATCCTATTTATGAGCAAAGATAAATAAGGAGGAAAACAAATGTTCTTAAATATAACCAACTGAAACGACCATCACATCAGAGAAGAATCAAACCGTGGAGGGCATCTGCTCACCTCGGACCTGTCTGACACACTGCAGGGCGTATTTAAGAGCGTTCAGGGTGCTGGAGTGGCCCTTGGCTTTGCGCTCAGCTGGCAGACGGAGCTTCAGCTCTTTGATGGCCTTCATCAGCTCCTTCTGCGTCTGCAGCCGGGCCGACTGGTCGCTGCTCCAGCCGGAGGTGGAGGGCGGGTTGTGCTCCGAGCTGTGGGACAGCAGGCTGTAGGCCAGAGAGCCATTGGGAGGTGACAGACTCTGGAAGTTGGAGCTGGAGAACGGAGACAGAATTAGAGGAAAAAAAGAAAATCATCATACTTTATTTTTTATTTCTTTTCACACAAAAAAAGAGAATTTAATACAGAGAATCCGTTTAAAATGACTTCCAGTCTTTTTCAGGAAAAGTATCTCTACAGCAAGATACTGCTTCATTATGCAGCAAAGCAGTATTTAAATAATTCTGTGTTACTCTACTGTTTTTTTTAGGCACATTAGAGTAAAAGAAGCTGAACACAAAAGCACACCACACTTTGGATATTAAAATGTTGTTCGAGGTTATTGCCAACACATCGGAATGCTGCAGCAAAGCATTGTTCGTCACTTCATGCTAAACAAACACCCGGACATGCTTTGTGTGAGAGTTGTTGCGAAAACGTGCATCAGATAAGTTCAATGAAAAAAGGATGTGGATTTCAGGAAACCGACTGATAAAACTTCAGCAGACGGGTTTCATACGCTGGTATCTCGATTGAGGGGGTTCCCCGTTCAAAGAGAGCCTTTTCTTTTCATCTTGTAAAATAGTAACACAGAACATTGTTGAAGTTTTTAGAAGCTTCTTATGTTAGGAGATGTGATCGGATCCAGCTGTGTTGCATACTTTCGTTAGCTGTGGATTTGGTATTAAAACTTGGGGATATATTTCAAAATTCCTGATTTTCCAGAGTCTGTTTTCTAGATCCAGCCAGTTTTCATTGCACTGTGGCCCTTTGAGTGCAAACCATTCCTGTAGTATGGTTTAATTATGTCCACCTCGCCACCCTCACTTCCACAAATCATAACACAACCCTGAGGCTGTCCTCTGATTTGAAGTGAACTTGTCGTTTCTGTCGACTCCTTTTACATCCAAACAAAACTGGAGCAGTTACAATCTATAAAACTGAAGGAAAGGGCGTTTATTCTAAAAATGAACAAGATAATGAAGAGTTTCTGGGTCGGGATAAACTCATTATCCCAAATGTCTAATTTCCTAAAAATCATACAATTTTAAATGTAGCATAAAAGGGTTTTAAATCCCCCAAAGTTAGTGAAAAGTATTTTTCCCATTCAAAATCTTTTTCATTGAATTGAAATAAGAGCTTGTTGTCAGTAACTCTGAAATCCCAGATTGTGATTCAGCAAATCAGACAAATATCATCAAATAATTTACTATAAGAATAACTGGATGTCATATAAATCATCTTAAATTCAATTTTGTTGGCAAAAATAATCATATCTGTCTTTTAGAGATGGAAACATCCTCAGTTAGTGTTGGAGAATGATAACAATCTCAGTTTTTACTTTTCCAGACTGTTCTGGAACCCTGAGTGTATTTCTGTAGGTGAAGCATTCAGGAGTGCATGGGGATGGACTTGTCTCCTACCTTTTGGTGCTATCGGTGGTCTCCAGCATCATGCCGGAGTCCTTCCCATTGGAGGAGCTGTGACTGTGGGAGCTGGGCGTGGATTGGTGTCCGCATAATCCATCCCTCCCAGCCCTGCCCTCGCTTTCCCTCTCCCCGGAGTCGTTCCCGCTGGAAACGCCGTCCATGTCGTCCGAGTGCGACTCCCTCTGGTCTCCGGACAGGCTGGACGCACCTCCCTGCTCCTGGTCGGAGACATTGGGACAGGTGGTTTTCTGCTCGTTCACCTCGTCCTCCCGGTCCTTGTCGCAGGTCCCCGATGCTCGTCCCCGACAGCTGCTGCTGGGCATTGATGTGGAGCTGTCATAACTCATACTAGTGTAGGATGAAGTCGTAGAATTTAACTGGAGCAACTTAATTTTAAGTAGGACTGCTATGTACATATAAGTGAATCATCTTTGCTGGGTTAGAGAAGAAAAAAAAAAATAGAGAAAAAGTTTTCTTGAAAACAAAAAACGCTTCAAGCCCTCCTTGAGGGCAAAAAAGGCTCCAAAAGCCTTCAAAGTGTCACTTAAAGTCGCACAGACAACAGATGAACGTCTTGTTATGAAGCAGCCTTGGCAGCGAGTCCTCCAACAGATGGGATGAGCAATGGAGAGTCAGCGTGAGAGAGAAAAAGCAAAAAAGAAAAACATTTGCTGCGAAGAGACGAGTTGCTTCAGATCCTAAAAGGCAACCTGAAACGAAAAAGAGAAGGAAGACGTGTTAGAGTAAAACCCACCCAAAAGGTCTCAGTTGTTCTAAAAACAAAACAAACAAAAAACACCATCCTGTGTTATCAGCTCATCGTGTTCCCCCAAACTCCAAAACGTCCCTGAAGCGTCTGCCGCCGTCCAGCCCTGCTTGCTGCATTGAGGCTGTTGCAGGCTGCAGCCGGCGGCTCTTTTTGCACAGATTATCCAGAAATAAAAAGCGCAGAAAGACACTAATCTGCAACCCATGTGGCAGCATACGCAGGTATGCTGAATATAGCATAAAAAAACCCTCAAGGTTAGCCGTCATAGCAAAGTCCCCTTTTACCCACAACAGTCCAAATAAACATTACGTCAGGGGACAAAGCTCAACACCAAAGATCTCTCTCATTCATTAGGACTTCAATACGGAATAGGGCCTCTTTGTGGACATATTTAGCAGCTACCTACGCAGGTAAGAGTCTGATTCTATTTATTGACCATCCAGTAATCCTTTAAGAGTTGCAGATGCAGCTCTAAGTCACCAATCCTATCACTTTTATACACCTGGCTGCCTCTGATCTCCCTCCTGTCCTTCTACAGGTGTGCAGTGATGCTCTGCTGCAGAGTTTGTCTCAGTGAAACACATCCCGAGAGGCACCTTAGAGAGAAATAAACCCCCGCCCTGACGCAGAAACCAGATTAGAAGAAGGTAACAGGTGTTTACAGCCGGTGACGTCTGCAACTCATAAATAACCTAAATCAAAAAAGGGGGGATTGAGTGCATGAGTTCAGTAGTTCTCAGTGCACTGAGCTGCCTTCATTAAATTGCTAATGAGCATTATGTTTAGTCAAAAGGATGATGCAGGCTCTGCACATGGCAGAATGTGTGAGCAGCGGACGAACTGGGCGGGAGAAGGAGAGCAGCAGGAATGGGGAGTTAGTTGAGCGCGAGGCCCGGCTGGCATCTGCGAGTAGAAGAAAAATGCACAGCGGAGGCGGTGTTGATCGACGGTGCCCGTACTCGTTTTGTGACATAACAGCAAACTTCACATTGCATGTCCGCCTGAACGCATCGTTTAGGTGAAATGTGGTCGGGCTACGGGGGTGCTCTATTAACACTCAGAATAGATGGGGAAAAAAAGATTGTTAATAGAAGTTGAAAGATGTTGATCTTCCAATCTACAAATAGCAGCAAAGGTTATTTCTACAGAGAATTACTCCAAATGCACACATCAGGTTTTTACTTATATGGAGTAATAAAAACCATCCATCATTTTCCTTCCTTTCAACTATTTTTGCACCACTTTATTCTGCCTGGTTATGACAAGAAAACGTGCATTATAAAACATGTATAAACTATGAATTCCAACAAATATAACACTGTAAAATCACCGCAGCTAACTCAGCAGGATCAGATCTATATTTACCTCCACCAACTCTTGATTATTCCCAGCAGAGAGCTTACTGCCGAACCAGTCTCCGATTATGCAAGTTCTAGTCGATGTCAGCGTGGGAAGGTACAGGGAATGATATAAGCTCTGCTTTGTGCTCCTATTACACTGTTTCTCTTCTAGAAATGATGACTAAACTTTAGGGATACACACCCAGTTTATTCAAACTGATAAGAAAAAACAAACAAACAGCTGAATTGACATCTGCAGTTAATGCAACTAATGGTTGCTTTTCAGGTTTGTTATTGTTTTATTATGCGAGTATAAGCTGTGCTGTTAGTTTTTTTTTTTTTTTTTTTTTTTCAGCATTTAAAACTACAAGTCATCAACCTGCAGCTCAGCTCATGTTTACAAATTCATCATTAGGTAGAAGGTATACAGATGATCAAATGGATAGCATTTCCTATCAAAGTGTTCCTACAGCACAGCCTGTTTAACTAAGATTTTAGCCTTCAGAATCAGAATTATGTTATTAATCCCTTGCAGGAAATTCTTTCATCCATCGCTTTCGGGATACTTTTGCAGAGGATTGCAAAGCCAATACGGACTTCAACTCCTTTAATTTTCCAGATTTGACAAATCTGGCATGAAAGCGTTTTTTGCAACTGCAATACTCTTGATATTCAACAATGACAAATGACAGATCAATATATCTCTGCAGCTCTAATTCTGCAAGAATACTTGTTTATTTGCAGCAATAAATCAAACGAATTCGACCACACAAACAGCAATAATTTTAATACAAACCCTAGCCTGGTCAAGTTCTAGAAAATGTCACCAAGACAATCAGTGCAAGCATTAATGATTGGACCAAATAATAAACATTTAGCTCATCTTTCACAGACCAGATTATAAACACACTGAAATTACGGTTTAGATTGCAAGAAATAATGGAAGCAAATAATCCTTGTCAAATAAAGAGCCTCAAGTGAAGATAGAAAATGTCAACAACTCAAACGTGAAAAATAATGTGACCTGAGCTGCAAGTTTGAACAACTCTCATGTATTAACAAGAGAGCAAGGCCAAGCAGCTATATTTGGGCATGCACAGACTGAACCTGGAGGCAACAACAAGTAGAAAACAGACCGTTTTTGTCAACCTTCCAGCTTACCTTGAAGAACATGACAGGTAATAAACGCTTTACTGCATTGCAAAAAGTGGACAATGAATGACAGATGTTAGAAATCTGACCAATATAGACATAAATCCTTAAATAGAAATGATTTAATGAAGGAAATAAAATTAAATATTTTCTCCTAACTTAATTGCAGACAGTTGGTGTTTGTACCAAAACAATCACCTGAAAGCACGTAGGTGTAATCATCGTTTAGGACACTGCCTCTACATCCAGAAACGATAAACCGAGCCTCCAGTAGAGGTCCAACCGAACCCGAACAGAACCAAACATCTGGTTAAGAACCGCACAAAAAAAAAAACCAGAGACGTCACCGTTATCTACAGCCTCGCTGCGCAGCTGGATTCCGCTATCCTGTCTTGTGTTCACACATGAGCACGTGTCCGCGGCGGTGTTTTCCGCGAGCCTCGCAGCCACCTGATTGGCCAGCTGTCTGAGCCAATGGGAGAGCGCGGTGGGCTGAGGGAGCTGATTGGATGGGGCCTGCCAGACATGCAGCACACTGAACTGAACCCAGATCAGCTTTAAATGACACAAAACCCCACATTGGATTGAAAAATGGGGGGAGTTTCATGGGATTGACTAAAAAAAAAATCATCTGTTTATCACATTTTTCATGTTGCCTGATACTAAATTCTATTTTACATCCCATAATAATAACGAATCTACATGAAAGATACACAGAAAGACCACAGAAAAAAAACCACCCCCACCTCGGTTTTACTTCATGCTGATTGTCTTAAAGTTCCAACCATTTATCTGATGTTCTGGCCTGATTTACAGGAAACTGCTCAGCTCTCCCACAACAAATCGTAAAATGAGTGTCAGTGGGTAGCCGACTGTTCATCTACCCGACCACAAAAAGAGTGTGTCATTCTGTACCATGATATCTATCTACAAGGTCTGCACATTTTTTTAAGCAAGTGGAAACCAAACCATGCATCCGCCTCATAAGAAGCTTCAATGAATTAACCAACATTGTAATGAATAAGATCTGAGCAGGACTTTACTTTGTTAACAGCCAAAGGAATCCAAGATGTACAGAAAACTGATAAAATTTTTTCATTTTCAAAGTACGAGGGCCTTAAATATAGAAATTACAAGCATGTCACTATATTCACATTAAAAGCTATTATTAATACTACCTGATAAATATAAAACAAAACTATTTTTCAGCTCAAATTCAACCCAATACCTGTAAAAATGCCCATAGCTCTATATTGATTATTTATGATTAGTAAAAACAGAATACAGAACAATATTTTTTTTTTCTTTCATTTCTTAACTCTGTCACTCCATACACTTTTTTTTCATTATCCACATTTGTATGGTCACTTGCTATAATCTTTTGTTGCTCTAACACCACAATTTTACCGTTGTGGGACAATAAATGGATTTTGTGTTCTATTCTATAAAAAAATCAAAAAGTGAAGGCGTCTTTACAATCTCAAGATGGGACTGAGAAAGGATTGCAAAGATTTCTACCAGTTAAAAAAGTGCTAAAACACTTTAAAATGCCGTTTTTAAGATGTCATTTTAAAATGATTAGGTATGTTTTTGTGAGCAGTAGCCTGATTTGAGCCAGCTGACAGACAGTGCTCAGAGGTTGGAAATATTGGTCTTTTTAGCACTTTATTTCTATCAAAGGGAATTTAAATTGTATAACAGAATTTATTGTTTAGCCTTTTTCTTTAACTGGTTTATCTTGATTCTGGTAAGCAGTTCTTATTTCCCAACACTATACGATTATCTATCCATCTCCCTTCTCCTATTTATTCTGTCAGGGTGTCAGGAGGCTATGGCAGGGCAACAAAGAGACGCACAAAGTCATACAACCATGCACACAGGCTTTAACCACTGTGGGAGTCTGGGAGGGAGTCACAGTACTTGGAGAGAGAACATGCATACTCCATGCAGATTGGGAATCAAACCAAAACCACCTGCAAAGCAACAGCCTTACAAACTGCTCCACCATGCAGCCTACTATATGATTATCAAACAATTAAACTCACATCTTCTTACACATATCTTTACATTCTATTGCATTCCTTCCAATCTTTTTAATAAATCCTTCTTGGCTATATGCTGCACCATCTAGACATCTGTACTAAATATGTGGTTTAATATACCTGAAAAGTGTATAAATCTTATATAATCAATAAAGGCCAGAGTGTTATTTACATCCAACTATTCTAGATAGTCTTTCAGCAGCACTCTAATCAACATATATCCCTGATATGCAATATGATGAAGCCATGAAGCCTAAAAAAAGATACGATAACAACATGCCCAGTGTCCTTACTGATATGTTCCAATCTCTGCAACATAGCAGAACCTCCAGACACACAAGCAGGGTAGAAACCTAATCCTCTGGACTTGTGAAAAATCCAGAAAAGTCCTCTAACACGTACCAAAACAGTCCAAAATGTAGGAAACAACAGCCTGCATAGCCATTACTCCCTGCTTCAGCCTTCCTTGTTTTCCTGTGTTTTTCCTTAACAGGGCATCTGCAATCCCCATCCTTACAAATGATTATGCATATTTAAAACATCTGTTCCCTGCATCTGTTCACAAACAATAGAGCAGCTGCAAAACCAGGTTTATGCTGCAGACTTAATGGAAGATGACAGATACAGAAATGGATGCAAAGAGCATCAAAAGCAATATAAGCAATCAGCAACCTGCAATCTTTTTTCAATTCAATACAAGATGTCCACATTAGAGGCAACAGGTAAGGCATCATCAAGATGGCTGTTTATATTGGTGTAATAAACCAGTTATAAACAGCTGAGACATCAGCCCTGTTCTAGTTACTGAGTTTTCTCCCTGAATTATTTAAAATAAATGGTCTCGATTTGTGAAATGCTTACTTTCCTCCCTGAGCATTTATTTGACAGTCCAATTAAGGAATAAGGAATAATTTGATTGTCTTTGATTAGCAGACACAAAAGGAGATAAAACCCTATCTTTATAGTTGTGGGTCTGACACAGAGGTTGCAACTGCAATACACAGATTTTACAGCTCTGTTACTTTACATGTTGCTTCATTACCCCAGCAGCAAAGACAGGAAAAAAACACTAAAACAATGAGAGAAGACATTAATTTCTTAGATTAGCAACTCCCCCCAACTTGGAGCAGTTGGCAGGAGGTAGAAGCACTTCTTTATTCTGATTCATATCGGTTCACATGGCGGGATTATTCAGCTAATAATGGGTAACCAAACCAATCTATGAAATATATTTAGGATCATAAATATGTTCCGCTGTTTACTGTTTTTAAAGCTATGACAGTTAGCATGCTAGCAGTAAAACACCCGTTAAAGCAGGGCGATAAAATCACAAATCATCTTACCTTACTAGTGCTCAAACGTAGATATACCGTTGGTGTTATATTCCCACTTAAGCAAAAGAAACTTTCTTCCCAAGAAACAAGAGAAATCCACTAAGTATCGGTTAAACTCCCTTGCGGTCTCAGTACTTGCTCTGCATGCACCTCTCAGCTCCCAGCGAATGCAGTTTACACGCACAGACACACGTGTTGCCATACATGCCAAGGCAAGTGATGGCGAAATACGTACGCTGATTGGCTGAGAGGTTGTTTGAGCCGCGCCCACAACACACCCCTTTGCGTTCCCATTGGCCTACATGGGCGGGGCTTTCTGCACGAGGCTCGTCGGTCACGTTGCGCAGTGACTGGAACTGCAGTCCATTTCCAAACAACAGTGGAAACACGAGGGAGTAAACCTCCCACAGCAGGAGCGCATTACCGTAGTATATGTAATACCAAGACACTAGAAATATGGAGAAGGAAAGTACTGCAGTGTATGATAGCATTTATGTACTTTATAGATAGGATACTGCAGTGTATGATAGCATTTATGTACTTTATAGATAGGAATAATGGACGTGGCATATATATATATATATATATATATATATATATATATATATATATATAATTCTGTTTAAAGCTGCAAAAAGTTTATAGATAAAATTTGACACATACATGTGGAAAAATTTATAACATTAAAATAATAGTGAAGAGTTTAAGATAAACAACAAAATACTGTAATGTAAATTTTTTTAATGATACAAAACTGTGCACCTTGAGAATAAATAACCAAAATAAAGCTATGGACATTTCTCAAGTGATAGATAATTAAAAATAACAGCAACATTAGAGATGTGCAAACTGACAGCAGCATGTTATTTAACTGACTAAGGTAGAAACTTTGCAAAATAGCATGAATGTAACAACTTATTGAGGTTGGTAGAAACAGTGATGGTTCTAAAGTATTTAACTTGCTGGGAGGAAGGATCTGAGATGCTACATACAGTGTATATACATATATTATATACATGTTCTCCCTGAGCATGCGTGGGTTTTCTCCGGGTACTCCGGCTTCCTCCCACAGTCAAAAAACATGGCTGTTAGGTTAATTGTTTCTCTAAATTCTCCTTAGGTGTGAGCGTGTGTGAATGGTTATTTGTCCTGTTTGTCTCTGTGTTGCCCTGGCAACCTGTCCAGGGTGTACCCCGCCTCTCGCCCGTAGACAGCTGGAGGTAGGCACCAGCAACCCCAGAAAGGATATGTGTGACGAAAAAAGGACGGATGATTTCAACACAGCTTTAACCTTGGTTCAGTTTCCAGTATGCATGGAACTGAATGATGCAGACATATTGGATGTTAAACTTTGGGAGACCTATGTATTTCCAATTTTTTCGCCTACAGATGTTCAATTTGATATTTATGTCCTTAAGGTAAGGAAAGGTTTTTCTTTAAGTGACCATGAAAACAACAATTTGCAGTACAAGCCAAGATTAAGATGGTATATATATATGGTAAATGGCCTGTACTTAAATAGCCCTTTTCCAAGTCAGGAGACTATAAATGGCTTTACACCCCATCCAGTCATTCCCCCATTCACGCACACACCGATGGTGGCAAGCTACTTTGTAGCCACAGCTACCCTGGGGCTCACTGACAGAAGTGGGAGTGCAGTATACTGACACCACCGGGCCCTCTAAGATATATGTCCTATATAAGTATATATATATATATATATATATATATATATATATATATATATATATATATAAGATTTATATCATATATAAATATATATTTACATATATATAAATATGATATATAAGACATATATCTGATATTATTCTCATTAATCTCTTTATTTCTAACTCTTTACAACAAAAAAATAATGATAAAAAAACACTTAGTAATCAAGAAAAAAATAACTTTATCACAAAACTCCATACTCAAATCAAATGAGATATGCAACCGAAGAGGATACATCGAAAAACGTACACAAAATTTAGCAGCGACGAATACAAAATATATATATATATCTGTGGTGCAGAAGAGCAAATTATTAAGCTTACTGAGGGCAGTGATGGCTAAAAACAGCTGCTGGAAGGAAAGGTGCATGATGGTGCTCCTTAGTGCACCTAGGGTGCAGCATGGAACAAAAAAAGTTAAAAATGAGCCTGAGCTAACCATAGGCTCCTTTGCTATTTTATCCATATGATTACCAACTGAAAACATTAAGCAGTATCATTTTTCCCCTTGTTTCTAATTGGCAGAAAGCAATATTACAAACTTTCTGTCTTTAACTTGATATGAATAAAAATTGTTATTAGTTAGAAAAGTAGTAATTCAATAATATAAATATGTAATGTGTCCTAGACTTCGTTATTGTTGTCATTACCATCTTTTTTTAAGTATAATCATTTATCTGAAGCTGTAGCTATCATTTTAATTATACTGTTTGTATTTTTTTTTATCCTGTTTATTGATTCGCTGCGCCTAAAAGCAAATACATTTTCGAGTCGCCTTCTAATAATCATCAAGGAAAGATGGACCGACGCCCCTAAAGCTGCAGAATCACGAAGCGCTAAATAGGATGCGGCTTTGCTTCGTTATTACGGCAGCTCCACCGCTCCGGCATGCACATCTCAACGTGCTCCCATCATGACATCATCTGGCCCCGCCCCTTACACACCCCCATTCACCCCCATGCACGTAGCAAAGGGAGGTTACTGAGACAGTAAACAAAGCAGATGTAGGACACTGCATGCCTGAACATCACCACAGATATGACGCACTTATAAATAAACCTTAAATGGTATATTTATCTATAAATAGACATGTAAACGCAGATATTTGTTTCTTAAATATGTGATTTTAGCTGTGAGAAAGAAAATAAAGAATAAAAATTGCTCCTGCAGAAGAGGAGTGTCTGCAAGGAAGGACATTAGTACGTGTGAATTTGAACGTACCTTTTCTCATGTTTGCTGGATGTGTATGCCTAATGTGCTACCAATTTATTTACCACTCTTTACTTTATACAAAATATATTTAATGCTTTAATTACACTTTTTACCCCCTAAATAGATTTTCATTAGCTATTACTTTTCAACGAAATTTTTCTTTATTCCACACAAACACAAAGTGGCACTCAAAGGTATTATCTCATGTAATGCAAACTGTAGGAAAATAAATAAATAGATAAAACCTTATGATACCAGACAAATCTTGGTAAAATAATCTGAAGCAAGCTGGTGAAAGTTTAATGGCATTCCTTGTTATCGTTCAACACAAATTGTTTTTTATTGTTGATTCTTGATGTAGGAGCCTAAATTAAGTTTAAGTTGAGATCAAATTAATTCTTTATAAGTTACAGTGTTTATTGGAATATAAAAGGATCTCATATTTGAGGATATTCAATATTTCTAATTTTACTGAGGTTCTTTTGCAAATTTGCACAGTTTTTTGCTCATTTGCTTGTTTGATTGATTGATGAATTTATTGATCTCATAGTGGAGAAATGTACTCATTACATCAGCTCAAATAGTCAAAAAGAGAAGAAGAAGGTGCCAAAAGGCAGAAAAGGTGCATGAAATATACAGTGCGTCCAAATATGACTGCTAAAGTCTGTTTATTTTGTTTTGTTTTTTTATAGCAGGATTATTTTTCAGGGTTATTGCACAGGTTATTTAGATGGGTATCCATGTAGATGGATATTTATATATATATATATATATGTATAGCTATTGCACTGGGTATCAAATGTAAACAAGCAGGTTATTGCACAGAGTATTAAATAGTAATGGCACATTATACATTGCACAAGTTTCTGGATGTTTAGGGGTGTGGCTTCTGCTTCAGTGTTAGTCAGGTAATTGGAATGGAACCGCACCTTTTTTTTTAACCTCATTTACATTTCTCCTAATCTTCCTTTATTATAATTCTATTTTTCATACTTGAAATTTCATATGTGATGGATATTTTTTGCCATCAAGTTGATAACAGAGGGGAAAGGAGCCACAAGCATTTGGCTTCATTACTTGGGAATCTACACTTTATTCAAATTAAAAAGAGAACCTATAAAAGAAGATAAAAGCCTTTGGGAAATTTTTCTAATTTTAATTTCAGACTTTTCCTCATAGAATTATGACAATTATTATTGAGGTTTTAATCCTGGGCTTTAGTGATATTGTCCTAAGTAATTTGACTTTTAATTCTGAGATTAAAAGTCAAAATTCTAAGGATAAAGTCACAATGCTGAGATTTAACTTTTCTTTTTTTTTTGCTTGCCCTGTAAGATTGGAGATCTGGGTCATGGAGGGAACTTTACAAATAGATGGTTTGTTGTTTTTCTCAGCCATTCTTGTTTTCTTTTTACTGTGAAGGAGGGTAGTGACGTTCTTATCCTGTTGGAAGATCCGTGACTGGATAGCTCTATGTTTTTCAGACCTAATGGCAAAAATTAAGGTTTCCTGGATCAAACCGTAGCCACCCTCAAAAGAAAACTCAGCCTCTTCCAAGTCATAGGGAGGGCATGATGCTCCACCTCCTCTACAAGTGCTCATGTGCTTCAACCGCTTTATTTTTATCTCCTGTTCTAAAAGTGAACTACAGTTTTATTTGGTGAGTTTATTTACAGTAAAGGAGCTCAGATGGGTCTCATCTTTCCTTTTGAGTGACATAAATCTGTAAAGTACTTGTATTTCTCAAGGACAGGCACAAGGCATGAAGAAAAAAAGCTGAAAGCTTTGTTTTCTTCTCTGCTTTATGTCCATTGGTGTGTGCATGAGAACAACATTTAGAATACTTGTTCAATAGCAATTAACTGAATAAGTAAGTAAAAAAAATTCTGATCCCAGATGATACTAATTAAGGTTAAATGCTTAGTTGGAAACACAATTATAATGTTAGGGTTATTATTTCCTTTTCTCTAACAAATGTAGTCATGCAATTTTAGCATTTCTCTTTAAAATATCCTCCAAAATCACCAGCGTACCCTTATTTAACTCTGCATGTCACTTAAAGTAAGCAGATTCTTTCAAATGAATCACTTATGAGGGGATTCAAAGCATGGCTTCAATAAACTGCAGCTTCCTGCACACCTGTCCACATCTGTAGAATGACAGATAATGAAATGGCTGCATCAGAAAATGTGTCCACTAGAGGGCAGCATTGCAAAAGA